AATTGGGGTGATCCCAGCCGGGACGATTCCCTTCTCCAAAGCAATTGGGGTGATCCCAGCCGGGACGATCCCCGGGAGCTCCCGCGCGCCACCGCCTTTGCCTTCCTGATGCCTCCCATTGCCCTTGAGAGAGGAAAAGGGGATGGAAAAGAGTGGGCTGGGAATGTGGCATCTGGGAATGAGCGGTCCCTAGTGCTTTGCCTCCCAAGAGGCAGCAAAAACGCCGTGGTTTTGCCCCGGGTTTTGCCCCAAAAGCGCCGTCCCAGGCCAGGCCTTAGCCCCGGCGCGGCCCCTAACGAGGGCACCACTAATTGCGCCCGTGGGTGCCCCCGTGGGTGCCCCCGCAGGGCGCCTCGGCGCTCTTCGACATGATCGAGTACTACGAGTCGGCCACGCACCTCAACATCTCCTTCAACAAGCACATCGGCACGCGCGGCTGGCAGGCGGCCGCGCACATGATGAGGAAGGTGAGGAAGGCCGGGGGGGCTGCCGAGGGGCCCCCGGGGCCCGGGGGGTCACGCGGGGGGAGGTGGGGGGTTCACACGGGATTGCATGGAGATTTGGGGGTGTCACGCGTGGGGATTTGGGGTTTCCACACGTGGGGATTTGGAGGTGTCGCATGTGGGGATTTGGGAGTTTCACGTGTGGGGGTTTTGTGGGGATTTGGGGGTGTCACACGGGGTTTTGTGGGAATTTGGGGGCTTCACACGTGGGGATTTGGGGGTATCACACGTGGGGGTTTAATGGAGATTTGGGGGTGTCACGGGATTTGGGGGTATCACACATGGGGGTTTCATGGGGATTTGGGGGTGTCACATGTGGGGATTTGGGGGGTATCACACATGGGGGATTAATGGGGATTTGGGGGTGTCACACGTGGGGGTTTCATGGAGATTTGGGGGTGTCACACGTGGGGATTTGGGGGTTTCACACGTGGCGGTTTCATGGGGATTTGGGGGTTTCAGCGCCAAAATGGCCCTTCCCTCGGGCCAAACGCCCCAGTGCTGGGGGCCTCGGCTTGATGGGAGCGGGCTCCGGCGGGGGGGAGCGCGGGGCCCCCGCGCAGGCACCCACGGGGGTCTCCTCCCGCAGACCAACTGCCTGCAGTACGTGGACGCGCGCTGCACGCCGCTGCTCGAGCCCTCGGCGCCCTTCGTGGCGCGCGCGCTGCGCATCAGCAGCAGCCTCGAGGTGCTGCACCTGGAGAGCGCCAGCCTCTCGGGGCGCCCGCTCATGCTGCTCGGTGAGTCCTGCGCGCTAATTAGCGGCCCTCGTTAGCGCGGCGGGACGAGCCGGTCGAGCCCGGGCGGGAGCAGGGAGCGGAGCCGGGCGCCGTCCTCACGTGCTGCCCGCGCCGAGGGAATGAACCCCCCCAAAGCCCCCGTGTTCCCGAGGGAATG